GTATTTTGATCCCAGTCCAAAATATTAAGGAATTTCGAAAATCAAACTGTTTTTCAAAATTTTTTTGGACTTTTTCGATATACACGGTGTCAAAACTTTATTTTTTTTAACGAAATTTAACAACATATGGGATTTTAACTTAAAAAACCTTTTTTATCACTTTAGCGAATAAAATTTACAAAAACTGTTGTTAAATTTCGTTAAAAATTGTTAATTATCACTACCTATTTTTTGAATTACAAAAGATTTTCGAAACGTTGGCAAAATGTTTGTTTTTGTTCATAAAAAGTCATTTTTCTTTAAAACGTTTGACTTTAGGGCAATGAACCAGGAGAATTCTTTTTGTGTAAAATTCATTGGCGCTTCAGTCCTGTAGTTCAAACGGTTCCTAAGGTATTGGCAAAAAAACTAAAAAAACAGTTTTGACACCGTTTATCTTGAAAACGAAAGCCCGGAGAGAAAAATATAAGAGGAAAAATGTTTATTTTGTCAAGAGGAATTTACAGTTTTCCATTGCGACACTTAATTAGGAACTATTACAGGGCGATATAATTTTGTATCTATTTAACCTCCTTGGAATTTTTAATACGTAAAACCACATCGTTAAAGTTTCAAGAAAGTTTTTCGCTTTCGTTTTTGAACTATTTTTTTTTATATAGCAGGGGAAACCGTAAGTGGCGCACCCCGTGCGCCCTAGACGTCCCGACGAAACTTTCCTAGACAAGGTGTAATGGAAGTGGAACTTTGTGTCGGCCTAATCCAATAAAGCAGTTCCAACTTATCACGACCGCACCCTTCCCGATAAAATTAATCACAATCTAATTGCTATCGGACCCGAGGTCCGCAGGCCGGCCCGCCTTTTTGTTAAGGTCAATTCCGTTGCGGTAAAAATGAGGAAATATTGCTTCTGCAATAAATAACGATGCCCTCTTCCCTTCCTACGTGCCCTTCGACTGGAGAGTGGATTAAATGGGTTCACCTCGAAAAATAACAAGCTAGCAGCGATGTTGCGTGAATACGCACATAACATTAACGATATTAATAAATATAAAAGGTGTATACACGGGGTGTATTTTACGTTCACGCCATTCTTTACGAACGAGATAATTTTAGGCCAAGTGTCGAGTCAAAATTCAAATCGGAATAGTCTGAATTATTCAAATGGGCCGTTATTTTTCTCATTCAGTTGATCTAATTCTTCACGATACACCATGTATGTGTAACAAAATGGCAGACTTTAAAATCTCCCCATTCTAGGAACAAGAGGCGTTTGTTTTGCGGTCGTATTAAGTTGAGGTAAAGGGTACGATACATGAGACAATGCATAAAGTTAAATACAACAGAGGCAGCGCGATAATGTGGCATACGCCGTATCGTTCCAAATCAAACATCTGACGGAATCTCAGGAAACGCTCGTCCGATATCACGACCAGATGCGTAAGCTGGGCTCATTTGGAATTTAAATCGATTGGCCTCGGGTAAATTTGATGGCTTGTATAATTTAGCTGATGGGGTATGGCAGAAGGCCGTTGTTAAGGGACACTTCACAAATACATGTTATCCGCAAGCCGGGTAATTGGATTGTGCGTCTGTGTTTTGAGAGGATGGGTACACACCTCGACGTGTGTACAACCGCAACACTTTCGTCGTCCTGCTGCGAGTAGCAGCAGTATTTGTTCTGAAATAGTGACGTCTCTTTCTTGATTTCAAAATTCAGGGATATTCCTTTGGTACAGGGATAAAAGCTGATTATTATAAAATACTTTATATTTTAGTCATATAATTGTTGTCAACGGAAAAGTTGTAGCAAATTGAATTTCCTATCGAAATGAGACCTGAAGTCAAAAAATAGCTATTTATGATATTATACGTGTTAAAAGTAAGATTTTATTTTGTGAGTGAAGATGATTAAAAAACTCGCTACGCTCGTTTTTTAATCATCTTCACTCACAAAATAAAATCTTACTTTTAACACGTATATCATAAATAGCTATTAACAAAAATATGCCCACAAAACGAGTAAAAAAAACCGAAAAAATGCAGTTTTTTTTTGGTTTTTGGCCCACAACTTTTTTCTGAGAGGAGTTAGGTATAGGCATTGCTTCACAGAAAAAAAAGTCAATGTTTTTTTCCTTTAAAATAAGAGTCTATAAAAGTACCTACGACTAATAAAAACCGAGATACATTGGATCAAAGTTGGCTACTTTTTGGATTTTTTGCCAATTTTTGCCCTTTTACACTAAATGTACTGGGACATCCGGGCTAATTTTTCGAAAAATACCTTTGGTATTCCGAGTACTTACCGTGCTATGGCATC